TCTATGTCTGTCTCTCTATCTTTCTCTATCTCTCTCTCTCTATCTCTCTATCTCTACTATCTATATGTATATATATATATATATATATATATATATATATATATATATATGCATATATATGTATACATATGTTTATATATGTATATATTTATATATACATATATGTATATATGTATAGATACATCTATGTATATATACATATATTATTATATATACGATATATACATATAAATGAATAAATATACATATATATTATATATATATAATATATATATTATATATATATAATATATATATATAAAATTATATAGATTAAATTATATTTAACATGTATAGAATTTATGTATAATCTATTCATAATGTATGTGTATTATATCATTTTATATTGTAATGTGTTATATATTTCATTAAGTTATATGTATATTATATTTTATCTGTTAGGTATTTTAATTTTTATCGTGTACTGTTGGGTTTGTTGAGTAGGTAATAAAGTTTGTTAGTAATGTTATATGTTTTATCATGTAATATCCTCTTTGTAGAACATGTCGGAAATGCTCAAAGGCCATGGACTGCGCTATGCTTCCTTCCTACACCAAAAGGGTTACATTGGAGGCCAGTGGGTCTCAGCTGCCAGTGGGAAGACTTTTGAAGTTACAAATCCGAGCAATGGCAAAGTAAGGAGTCTGATTTCCGTATGGTTTAACTGATTGATTAGATTATTAACTAGTTAATTGATTATATAGCCTGTTGTATGAAAGAAAAATTATTATTTGCCAATATATTTACTTTTTGCATTTTAATTTCCTTAACATATCTTTTTGGTACTTTGTTTATGAACTTTTCATAAGTATTAACATCAACAAAATTACAGGTGATTGCAAGTGTCCCAGACATGGATGAACATGATGCGCAAATGGCCATTGATGCTGCCTATGATGCCTTCCAGACTTGGAGGAGAACCACGGCCAAGGTAGCTCTGAGGTTTTTCTATCATTGTTTTTTATTTCTTTAAAAGCTTACCTAAGCCTGTTCACATATAAATATCCAACAACTAATGCTTTAGTTAGGTTATTCTTTGTAGGTGTATCCATGTAATTAATTTAGATATGTGGTACATGCAAAACAAGTTAGATCAAGTAAATAACAAAAAAGTTGAAATGGATGAGTAAGGTGAGTGTGAGTGTTTGACGGTGTGTGTAATACAGTCATGAACTTGATTTATAAATTTCTCTAGGAACGTGCCATTCTTCTACGTAAATGGTACAGTCTGATGGAAGAGCATAAGGAGGACTTGGCAATCCTAATGACAGCAGAAGCAGGAAAGCCTCTCGTCGAGTCCCGTGGTGAAATCACTTATGGAAGCTCATTCCTTGAGTGGTTTGCAGAAGAGGCTAGACGCATACATGTAAGCTTCTTCTTTTCTTTTTGTTTTGATAGTCACTAGGTTTTAGTGGATCTTCAGTAGTTCAAAAAAACTGAAGGACACTTAAGATTACCTTGCTTTTATCCTCATGCTTTTCTTTTTTGTTTATTATAAATGTATTGAATCTATGCATTTCAATCTTGAATTTTTCATTTATGCTTTTTGTTCATTTTCAGGGTGAGGTAGTTCAGAGTCCAGCACCCAGCAAGGAGATGATTTTCCTCCGTGAACCTATTGGTGTTGTGTCCATGATTACACCAGTGAGTATATCCAGTTTTAGTAAATATGCTCACTTTCATTAGGTATAAATAATGTTAATATTAGATTAGCTAATGCGCCCAATTTCAGGAAGAATACACTAGGAGTTCACCTAGACTTTGGGATACTATGCTTTGCCAAGACTTTAGAATATCAGCTAATGCTTAATGGCTATGTTTATATATGTCCGGTATTTTTTAAATTCATATACAGTATCTTTCATTGCTTTACACCAGTTTTCTCAAGAGAGTTGCCAGTTGTTTGTTCATGAGACTGGGCAGAAGATAGTGACAGCAAATTTTGCAAGGATGTAGAGTTTCAGAATAATCAATATCGCTATGCAT